AGTAGAACCCCAAACTACGAACCTCCAAGTAGAACCCCTAACCACGAACCTCCAAGTAGAACCCCTAACCATGAACCTCCAAGTAGAACCCCGAACCACGAACCTCCAAGTAGAACCCCTAACCACGAACCTCCAAGTAGAACCCCTAACCATGAACCTCCAAGTAGAACCCCTGAAGCCCCTAAACCCTAAACCCTAAACCCTAAAACCCCTAAGTAGAACCCCTGAAGCCCCAACTCCCCCCCCTTGATTGCGGGGGGCGCGCCCACAAAGCCCCAGGAAAGTTGAAGAACGCGCGTGACGCCTCGAAGCACCTTCCAGGCTGGTCTGTTATAGGCCTTCAGCATCCCCATAGTCAACCCTATGAAGGGCCTTTTTTGAAGGGATTACAGGGTTTGGGGGTTTCGGGTTTAGGGTTTAGGGTTTAGGGTGTTCTGGACATTTTGGCGAGGTTAGGGTGTGGGTTTAGGAGGACTTTGTAGTAACTGATTCTGATAATTATGGTTGAGGGTGTGAGGCTTGGGACTTTATGTTCATGGCTGCGGCGTTTTGGGGTCTACTCTTTCGCTAGCACTGTTGGATGTTTCCAAACGTTCGGGTGCCCTCATACCCGTGCATCTATAGTCTTTGTTATTGCGGCACGCGTAAGAAACCAAAGCGCTGAACCCCTAAATCATAAAGCTATGCAATCCCCTCTCAATCCAAGAAGCCTTCCAGACCATCTGTGCATAAACTGCGAAAAACACAGCCTTCCATAAACCACGCGGGTTGATACTTCTGGAAACCCTGTATACACTCTCTCGAGATGTTGAGAAAGAGCCCAAACTAAACATCACATACCCCACCCCTAAACCCTGAACCCTCAACCCTAAACACCCCATTCACCCTACAAAAACCCTAAACTCCAAACATCTCCAAACCCAAACCCTAAACCCTAAACCCTAAACCCTACTCAAAACCCTAAACCCTAAAACCCAAACCCTAAACCCCAACCCCAACCCCGTTACGTCTCCAAGCCACCTGCCAGGGCAAACGCTCGGGCACAAAGTGCTTGGCGAAAGGCCCAGCGAGCTGGTGGTGGGGCACGCGCGCCTGGCCTGATCGGTCCAAGTCAGCTTCAGGGTTAGGGTTTAGGGTTTAGGGTTTAGGGTTTAGGGTCTAGGGTTTAGGGTTTAGGGTTTAGGGTTTAGGGTTTGGGGGTTTAGGGTTTAGGGTTTAGGGCTTAGAGCTTAGGGTTTATTAGGGTTTGAGGATTCGGGTTTGGGGGTCTAGTTCGTGGTTTAGGTAAGCTTCAGGGCTCATGGTTTGCCCAGGGCAAGTTCGCAGGCAAAAACCCAACAGGGTTTAGCAAAGGGTTTAGGGTTTAGGGTTTAGGGTTCAGGGTTTAGGGTTTAGGGTTTAGGGTTTAGGGTTTAGAGTCTAGGGTTTAGTAAAGGATTTAGGGTTTTAGGGTCCCACCATTTGCACCTCCAGCTCAAAGCCCCAAAGGTCCCAAAGCTCTCAGTGCCCGAGAAACCCTGAACCTCAAGAAGCATCAATATCCTCAACAAAAACACCCGAAACAAGCCAAACACATGCTAACGCCCTCAACCCCTATGGGCCTGCCTACGCCCCAAACACCCCACACTCCTAAACCGCAAACCTCTGTCCCTCGAAGCTCAGACACCCTATCCCCTCCCTCCAAAAGGGTAAGAAAGCCTTCTGAGCTGCCAAAAGAGGTCTGCCGCTGCACCTCTGAGCTACAGGGAGTGTTTCGGGTGTTTTTGGGATTTAGGGGGCTTAAGGTTTAAAGGTTTAAGGTAGAAGGGTTAAAGGGTCCAACGTTGTAAGGGTTGAGGGCTGAGGATAACTAAAGCAGTTTGAGGGGCTTTAGCATCTATAAGATCCAAGTCCGAGGGCTCAGAATAGTAACGGGCCCTTCCCGCTTTTGTGCTTTTACTGCTGGCTGTGGGGTTGAGGGCGTCAAGAGTTGGGGATTGGAGATCCTAAACCCTAAACCCAAAAAAAACCAAAAACCCAAAACCCTAAACCCTAAACCCTAAAACCTACACCCTAAACCCTAAACCCTAAACCCTAAACCCTAAACCCTAAACCCTACACCCTAAACCCTACCCGCTTGGTGTCGGCTTGAGGGCCACCTGAGCCTTCAACATACGGCGGAGGTTTTGTTTTATTAAGGTTTAGGGTTTAGGGTTTAGGGTTTAGGGTTTAGGGTTTAGGGTTTAGGGTTTAGGGTTTAGGGTTTAGGGTGTGGCTCGGGCCTGTTTTGTTTTCCTTTTTTGTGACTCGGCTTGGCTTGGCAAATTCTGTAAATAGCGGCATTTCTGCGTTGTCAGGGGCTTCAAATACTGTAATTAAATAACAGCACTTCTGCCTTTTTGGATGCTGCAAATACTGCAAATACCAGCATGTCTGCGTTTTCGGAGGCTGCAAATACTGTAAATAGCAGCATTTCTGCGTTTCATTGGCTGCAAGTACCACGAAGCCCGCACGATAGGTTGGAAGGGAATCATATGCTTTGACGCAAGCAGCACGGCCGAATAAGGGGGTTGGGCCTTTGAAGCGATTTCGATGGATTCATCTTTGAAACAAGCTTTGCAGAGCTTCAGAAATAGACCGCAGGACGACGAAAAACAAAAAAACACGTACCGGACCACGGGACCAGGGACCGCGGGACCAGAGGACCAAACAACCAGAGGACCGGAAGACCAGAGGACCAGAGCACCACGGGACCAGAGGACCAGAGGACCACGGCACCACGGCACCACGGCACCACGGCACCAGAGGACCAGAGGACCAGAGGACCAGAGGACCAGAGGACCAGGGGACCAGGGGACCAGGGGACCCGAGCCGCACCTTTCAAAGGAAAAATGCCCGAGACACACCTTTAAAAAAAACAAACCCTTGGCCCTTCAACATACTTCAACCCCAAAACACTCAACCCTGACACCGAAACTTCCCTACACCCTAAACCCTGAACCATAAAACCTGAACCCTAAACTTTAAACCTGAAACCTAGACCCGGAAACCTGAACCCAAGCCCTGAACCCGAAACCCCGAGCCCTAAACCCTGAACACGAAACCATGACCCCAGTCTCCAGACTGCACTGGCAAAGCGATGGGCCCCCTCAGCCTGCTACGCACCAAGCTTTGAAAAAAGACACCTTAAACCCTAAACCCTAAAGCCTAAACCCTGAACCCTGCAACCCCTAAGTCCAACCCACACAAACCCTGTAAGCTCCAAATTGCAGAGCGCAACTGTACTGGCCCTCAACCCACAATCCGTCTTAGATTGCATGTCATACACGCGTCAATTCCCGGGGTGCCATCAGAATGACTACACTGTTCTGGGTGAAGTTGAGGGTACCCCTAAACCCTAAACCCTAAACCCTTACCCCTAAACCCTAAACCCAAAACGAGCTTTCGGTCTCTCAGCTAAGGCACTAAAGGCGTGGAGAGTTCGATGCCCGGCACCGCTTCTGCGAAGGTCGTCAGCAGCCTGGCGTGTGGGCCGATTCGGGTTTAGGGTTTGGGGTTTGGGGTTTCGGGTTTAGGGTTTCGGAATTAGGGGTTTGAGGGTTGTCCAGGATCTGTAGGGCACATGCTGTCTGAGCTATATAGAGACCTGCAGCCTGAATCCTGAACCCCAAACCCTAAACCGTTTGTATTTAGCGTGCAGGCCTCAGGGTGTAGGGCTTAAGGTTTAGGGTTCTGGTTTGCGGCTAGGCTCCTCTCTTGTTGGCCTTCGCAGCGGTATCAGGGAAGGCTTCCTGTGCTAACCTCGCATACTTGATGACATGTTCTTTATTAAACCCTCTGGGCAACGAACAGACCCGAAGCCCTAAACCTGTGAACAAAGAAACCCTGAAGCCCAGAGCCCTACGCCGAAAACCAACAAACACATCAACAAACTGCCTCTTGGTAGGACATGAGGGAATCAGGCTTTTTTTCATCTCTTGAAGGGTATACGTATAAGGAGATGTTTATAGATGAGGTACCGAATTCCCTCATTCCCCTACTAAGAACCAGCATGTTAACCTGGACCCTAAACCCTAAACCCTAAACCCTAAACCCTAAACCCTAAACCCTAAACTACAAGAACCCCGCCATCCCGTGGGCCGCGGAACCGATTTTCTTCTCGCGCGAGAGGCATTGGGCGAGATTCCGCTTCTTCGACGCCCGCAGATCACGGGATGGATGTGCTTCCCTAATTTAGGGTTTAGGGTTTAGGGTTTAGGGTTTCGGGTTTAGGTTTAGGGTTATACTTATAGGGTTATACTTATAGGGTTATACTTCTACTACAAGGTTCTTATAAGGGAGAGGGCTTTAAGGGGGGGATGTAAACCATTTTCCCTAATGCTAGTCAGTCCTCTGACTTCCCAAATTGCCCTGATGCTCCCCACTACTCTAAGGCTCCCAGGCTTCGTGGCGATGCCCTAAATACTAAACCCCAACACCTCTCGAATTACCCAGCCTCTACACTTGCACGGTTTCGGGTTTCGGGTATAGGGTTTAGGATTTAGGGTTTAAGGTTTAAGGTTTAGGGCAAAGGGCTTGAACCCTAAACCCTAAACCCTCTAGAGTTCCGGGAGGGACTTCGCACGTCCTTCCCAGGCGGTGGTTCATTATCGGCACGTGACGTACGCAGAGAATGCGAGGTGGAAGCACCCCTCTGCTTCCTGGTTCTTCGGAGATATACAAAGTCCCAAACGTACTCTCCTTCTTTACAACAAGGCGATGATTGCAGACTAGTCAAGGCTATGTTATATCTGTTTGGTCCGCAAGAACCAGTAAGTCTGGGGTGTCCCTGAGGCAGGGCTCAATCTTCAATCTGATCTGAGTAACCCTAAACCCTTAGCCCCTCAACCATTCGGGTGTTGGGCTCAGGTATAGGAAAACCCTAAACCCTAAACCCTAAACCCTAAACCCTAAACCCTACACCCTGCACCCTGCACCCTACACCCTAAACCCTAAACCCTAAACCCTTCCAACCAGCTGACTCAAGACTCGAGCCCCCGCAGCAGTGACATTAGCCCAAACTCGTCAAAGGCATCGGCCCCGGCGTCCCACTGGTGCCCGCGGAAGCGCTCCAGGTCCTTCTCCAAGAGTCCTTGGAGAGGGTTTAGGGTTTAGGGTTTGGGGTTTGGGGTTTGGGGTTTGGGGTTTAGGGTCCTTTGAGTGGCATCCGCGCACCTCAAGCATATACCCCTGAATACTAAGCTCTATGTAGCTAAGCCAAGTTTTCTAGCCCTCAATAATTGCGAAACCCTACTTTCCAATCCCTAAAACTTACAGATCCTACTTCTGAACCTTGAACCCGACCCACCAAGGTGGAAGGAGCAAAGGGCAAGCAACGGGACCCGGTGGTGCTTAAGATTTAGGTTTATAGGCTTTGACCCTTAAAGTCTCTGGACAAACCAAAGGAGGAACCCCTTTCATCCCAAGGGATTAACGAAACATGTCCGGGTTGTGCTATCTTGTAGCCTATGACTCAGATTTGAGCAACCAAAAACCCCTGGCTCCCAACTCAGCGAATTTCTGCACTCCGAACCCCCTCCGAGACCCTCGCAGAAGCGTGCTTAGTAGGTCAAAATGCGGCAGCCGAAAGCCCCACTTGTTGAAGCCACGTGGCGCACGACATCTCTGTGCCGCGACACCTCGACAGGGGAGGCTGAGTTCAGGCTCGGTTTAGGGTTTAGGGTTCAGGGTTCAGGGTTCAGGGTTCAGGGTTTAGGGTTTAGGGTTTAGGGTTTAGGGTTTAGGGGGGATTTTTCGGGTTCAGGGTTGAGATGAACGGGCGAAAACGGGCGATCAGAGCATTGTCGCGATGTTCCGGTTAGGAGAATCAGGGGGCCCCTCTCTGTGCCCTCAGTAGAATAGCTTTGCAAGCTGGTGCTTCCACAGCCCTAAACCCCAAACCCCTAAGCCACCCGAACCCTAAACCCTGAACCCTAAGCCCCTAAACCCTAAATCCTAAGCCCTAAACCCTCAACCCTAAACCCCAGGAAGCCCTAACCCTAAACCCGAAACCCGATGTGCCTCCCGCAGTAGGCGCTGGCTGCGCCAGGAGGCGAAGGTCTCACGAAGCACCAGGGTTTCTGCAGGGACCTCCAGGATTTCTAAGGGGAAGTTGCCTATGGTGCCTGAGAGTACTGCATGGGCTTAGGGTTTAGGGTTTATTTAGGCTCCTAAATTTAGGGTTTAGGGTTTAATGTTGCACTCGCTTTAGTGCGAGGGGGCACTATTATGCGATGTTCCGAAAATCCTATAGGGGACCCCCCATTGTTTAGGGTGGTCCTCAATTATGCGATGTTTGCCCGGCCGGGGTTGAAGGGCGGGGGGCCGGGGAGCCAAAAACTAAAAAAAGTTTTGAATAAGAAACTCCGGATTTTGTTGGTCTCCAGCCTTATTTAAATTCCTTCTAAAATTTCATTACGAAACAGGCCCCCAAACAATTTTCCAAGGGAATAGCCCACGAGCTGCCCTGATTCGCTTTAGCAAGTTGTTTCGGTGGTCCGCATTTATGCGGAGCCCCGGCGACCGTGGAGCTACAAAGCCTGGAAAGCTTAGACCCTCAAGCTTCAAGGCTTCCCCTCAACCCTCGACCCCTAGCCGCCCTACCCCCAGCCCCGTCCCAGCCCCAGCCCACAGTATTCAGGATCCCCGAGAACCCCAAAATTATTTGCGGGGGGGCGGGGCCCTGCGCACTAAAGGGAGTCCAACATTAGGGTTTAGGGCCCCTTACCTTCCTTAAAGGGCTCTGCAGTATGAGAGTACATAAATACTGAGGGACCATGTGGCTACCGTAAAGATTTCTATGAGGGCCTGTAAACCCTAAACCCCAACCCTAACTCCAAACTCAAAACTTTGACAATGCAGAGGCCTCTTTTAGTAGAGTAAGGTTTAGGGCTTTGGGTTTAGGGTTTATGGGTTCCATGTACGGGGGCTTATCTTCCATATTTGCGGTACAGCACTTTAGAATGCAAGTACCTCTAAAATGGGATCATGAGGAAACAAAACTTGCAATTTCTCAAGCTTCTGTATTACTCTTTCTCTAGTTTGGGGTAGTATTCATGTTTTAAACGTCTATTCCTCATTGAGTTTAAGCACCGTTATAGATGAAATGTTACGCTGCTATGACAAAGAAAGTTGTGTAGCTTACCTACAGAAGCCGAAATCTTTGTTTAACATTGCTTCTGGGACACGGTTTAGGGTTTAGGGTTTAGGGTTTAGGGTTTAGGGTTTGGGGTTTGGGGTTTGGGGTTTGGGGTTTGGGGTTTGGGGTTTGGGGTTTGGGGTTTGGGGTTTGGGGTGTCGGGTCACAACCCAAGTCAGCGTACTTTCAACTTATAGCCCTTCGTAGCAAAGTTGAAGCCCTGCATCTGGAACCTCGTGCTGCCCCAACTTCTAATATGTAAACCCAGCGGAAACCCTATTAAAACCCGATATAAACCCCAAAGGAACCCTGAATGAACCCTGTATAGACCCAATAAACTCTAAACCCAGAAGCCCTAAACCCTAAACCCCCTAAACCCTAAAGCCCTAAAGCCCTAAACCCTAAACCCTAAAGCCCTAAAGCCTAAAGCCTAAACCCTAAACCCTAAACCCTAAACCCTAAACGCCGAACCATAAGGTGGTGCACCTCTGGCCACGCGCGCTTGGGAGGCGCGCGTGCCGACCCTCGCCAGCCGCGGAAGGCTAAACGCCGCCTCAGGTGCGAAACTCCCTAGCCAAAACTTAGGGTTTAGGGTTTAGGGGGTTTAGGGGGTTTAGGGGGTTTAGGGGGTTTAGGGGGTTTAGGGGGTTTAGGGGGTTTAGGGGGTTTAGGGGGTTTAGGGGGTTTAGGGTTTAGAGCTTAGGCTAAGGGCTTTTGGCTTAGGGCTTAGGGTTTAATTAGGGTTTAGGGTGTAGGCTTTTGGCTTAGGGCTTAGGGTTTAATTAGGGTTTAGGGTGTAGGGTGCAGTCTTTAGGAAGGGACTAAGAAGGGAACCTAGACCCTAAAAAAGGGAATAAGGCTGCTCTGGGTCCTAGTGGAATGTAAGGGACGTGGGCTCCATTTTCAACACAACATCCTGGCCCCCAATCCTTAAGCGCCTCCCCCCAACTCCCGAAAAAAAACAACACCTGCACACGCACATGCACATGCACATGGACATGGACATGCACATGGACATGCACGTGCACATGCACAGGCACGGGCACATGCACGCACACTCACGCACGCGCACGCACTAAAGCCCTGAGTCCCCTTGAAGCCTGGAATCCCCTAACCCTAGACCCCCAAAAAAATCCTTAAAAACCAACCCTAAACCCTAAACCCTAAACCCTAAACCCTAAACCCTAAACCCTCAAACTCCAAGCCCCTCAACACCCTAAAGGCGGCCCAGCCACAGCAGCTCGGCGTAACGGCCCTGACGGCACGGAAAGGCGCTGGCGTCCAGGGCCAGGGGGAGCTTTGCCTTGCCGCTGTAGGGTTTAGGGTTTAGGGTTTAGGGTTTAGGGTTTACGGTTTAGGATTTAGGGTTTAGGATTTAGGGTTTAAGGGGGAGCTTTGCCTTGAAGTTGTAGGGTTTTCAGGACTTAGGGTTTAGATTCTAGAGGGTTTGGAGCTTACATTCTATAGGGCCGTAGGGCCTTTTGGGATTGTAGTGAAAGCCCTGAAGGCACCCTTGGGCTATGGCTAAGGGTAGTGAAGGTATCTAAACTCTAAGAAACCTCCCTCCCCCCAAGCCCCTAAATAAACCCTAAACCCTAAACCCTAAACCCTAAACCCTAAACCCCAGCTAATCCCTAAACCCCAATTTCAAGGCTCGCCTGGTCTTGCAGGAGGCAGTGCTGCAGCACCGCCCCCAGATCGAGGAGCTGGACCTGCCCAAGGCTAAGGGTTCGGGGGTTTAGGGTTTAGGGTTTAGGGTTTAGGGTTTAGGGTTTAGGGTTAGGGTTTAGGGTTTAGGGTTAAGGGTTCAGGACTGAAAGGGTTCAGGAGTTGAGTCTGAAGGGGTTTAGTTTAGGGCTTTGGGTTCTTTTGGGTCTTAGTTGTAGGTCTAGGGTTTTAAGGTCTCGGGTTCAGGGGTGGTGTAGGGTACTGGGGTTAAGGGGCTTTGGGGCTCCAGTTTTGGGTTTAGGGTTTAGGGTTTAGGGTCTAGGGTTCAGGGGTTTTAGGGTTTGGGCGGCCGAACCTTTTTAGGGCATCTTGGGGAGGAGGGTTTAGGGTTTAGGGTTTAGGGCTTAGGGTTTAGGGTTTAGGGTTAGGGTTTAGGGTTTAGGGTTTAGGGTTTAGGGTTTAGGGTTTAGGGTTTAGGGTTTAGGGTTTAGGGTTTAGGGTTTAGGGTTTAGGGTTTAGGGTTTAGGGTTTAGGGTTTAGGGTTTAGGGTTTAGGTTTAGGGTTTAGGGTTTAGGGTTTAGGGTTTAGGGTTTAGGGTTTAGGGTTTAGGGTTTAGGGTTTAGGGTTTAGGGTTTAGGGTTTAGGGTTTAGGGTTTAGGGTTTGGGGGCTACTTGGAAGCCCTGTTTGACTTAGTTAGCAGGGTTAGTGAGGGGATTCCCAGGGTCTAAGGGACACTAAGTAGACTTGCTTTGTCAAAAGAGCTTCCAAACGGCCTAGACCGACAGATTTTGAGGGTCTTAGGGTTTAGGGTTTTAGGGCTTCAGGGCTTCAGGGTTTAGGGATGTTTTGGGTTTAGGGTTTTAGGGCTTCAGCGTTTAGGGTTTTAGGGCTTCAGGGTTTTAGGGTTTACGGCTTCAGGGTTTTAGGAATTTAGGTGGTTTCGGGGCTTTGGGGGTATCTAGGGCTGAAAGGTGTTTCGCGTTCAGGGTTACTAGGGATCCCAGGCGGGGCCCTGCAAACCCTAAACACCCTAAACCCTAAACCCTAAACCATGTCTTGGTAGCTGTTGGGTACGGAGCGTTAGGCCTTAGGGCGTTGCGGGCGTTGGGGTTTGCAACCCATACTTTCACCTTTAGCTGACAGGGTGCAGGTTGAGGTTTTGGGTTTAGGGTTTAGGGTTTAGGGTCTCTAGGGCGTCTGTGAAGGGTACTTGAGGGACGGAGGGAACCCCAACAGAAACCTACATACAAACCCGATATCTTAAGCCTTGAAGCCTAGTTCCTAAACCCTAAATCCCAAACCCTAAGCCCTAAACCCTAAATCCTAAACCCTAAAACCTACACCACCTAGACCCTACAATCAGCAATCGCTCAGACGCATTGCCTCTGTGGCCTTACTCATTGCACCGGTGCTGGTCCCGTCAGTCGCTCCGAGCGCATGCTGCGCTGTAACGTCGCTAAACCCTAAAACTCCGGCTTCGGAGCGAGAAGTGGCATTCAAAGTCTTGCGTGCCAGGTCAGCTGCAAGACCTGTCGTGGTTGGCGACGGTTGCGTCGATCACTGCCTGGTAAACACTCGCTTCCCTTTCGAAGAAGTCTTTCAGTGTGGCTCCGGTTGTAAGAGTTCCAGGCCTGCGAGGAGCCATAAAGCCGAAACCCGAAACCCGAAACCCTAACCCTAAACCCTAAACCCTCAACCCCATCTCCGGCCCTCACCGGGGTGCCGTGCCTGAAAAGGCTACTCCCTAAGTGTCCATGTACATATATAGGGTATATATATGTATATGTATACATACTTGTACATGGTGCATATACATACCTGCCATATATATATATATACATATATATATATATACATATACGTATATGAGTATATGTACATGTACATCGTAGGGTTTAGGGCTTAGGGTGTTAGGGTTTCAGGGTTGGGGTTGTCAGGGCTTCAGGGTCTCGGGGTTTGGAGCTTTAGGGGGTCCGAGCCCTTCTCCCGAACAGACATACCATGCGGATAGGACTTGAGGGTTTGGGGTTTAGGGTTTAGGGGTTGAACCCCAAACACGCGGACAGGACTTGAGGGTTTCTCTCGAATTGAACCCCAAACCCTAAACCTACTGATTCTTAGCAGGGAAAGAGGGAGTTAGGCACCTGATATCCCCCTATAGGTATACCCTTCAAGGGGATTATCAAGGGTCTTAACCAGCACACAAACCGCAACCTTCCTTTCTTCCTTCCGTGGCGTTGGGGTCAAGACGCACCCGAAGCGGGCCAAAAGCGGATAAACCGCAAGCCCTCAAGCCCCAAACCCCAAACCCTGAACCCAAAACCCAAAACCCTAAACCCTAAACCAGCTGCTTGTCTGAAGTTATTCTCTGCCTTTCCTTGAAAGGGGGCTATGGCGCTCCTAAACGCAAAAAACCCTAAACGCCGGGCACGAGCCCAAGCCCCACGACATGTGGTTTAGTGTTTGCAAGGTAGTGTGTAAACAGAAGCAGCCTCTTCCGCCTATATAATCGGGGCTTATGAACGCCTAAACCCAAAAAAAGGAAGATGGCACCGCTGAAGGTCCTAGAACCCCTCAACCCCTCAACCCTAAACCCTCAACCCCGAAACCCCGAGCCCTAAACCCTAAACCCTAAACCCTAAACCCTAAACCCTAAACCCTAAACCCTAAACCCCAAGCCCTAAACCCTAAACCCTCGGAAGTCCGGGTCTTTTGGGAAGCCGCCTGCTGCGCCACCAGCCCCGTCAGCGTGAGCTCGGGATACACCCGGAGGATGGACTCGGAGGTTTAGGGTTTAGGGTTTAGGGTTTGGGGTTTAGGGTTTAAGGTTTAGGGTTTGGGGTTTGGGGTTTGGGGTTTAGGGTTTAGGGTTTAGGGTTGAGGGTTTAGGGTTTAGGGCTTGGGGTTGAGGGTTTAGGGTTTAGGGTTCAGGGTTTAGGGCTTGGGGTTGAGGGTTTGGGGTTTCGGGTTTCGGGTTTGGGGTTTAGGGTTTGAGGTTTAGGGTTTAGGGTTTAGGGCTTGGGGTTGAGGGTTGGGGGTTTAGGGTTTGGGGTTTGGGGTTGGGGTTTAGGGTTTCGGGTTCGGGGTTTAGGGTTTAGGGTTTGGGGTTTAGTAGGCTTGGGGTAGGGGGTTTAGGGTTTGGGGTTGGGCGTTTAGGGTTTGGGGTTTAGGGTCTAGGGTTGGGATTCAGGGATTAGGGTTTGGGGCTTGGGGTTTGGGGATCCCTGGGCCCTGAGCCTAAGGTTGTGCCCTGAAATACTAAAGCGTGTTCCCTGAGTCTACCACGAATATAAACCCTAGATTCCCTTATCGGGGAAGGCACATCACATACTTACGCGAGTTTCCTTGGAAGGGACATCCCAACAGGGCCTCAACCCTAAACCCTCAACCTTAAACCTTAAACCCTAAACCCTAAACCCTAAACCCTGAACCCTATGCCGCGTGGCCAGGTCGAAGGCACCCAGTGACCGAGCTGCTCGGAGCAGCTGCAGCGCCTCGCCGGGCTGGAGAGGGTTGAGGAGTGTTGAGTTTAGGGGGTTTAGGGTTTAGGGAAAGGGGTTTGGGGTTTGGGGTTTGGGGTTTGGGGTTTGGGGTTTAGGGTTTAGGGTTTAGGGTTTAAGGGTTTCGGGTTTAGGGATAGAAAGATGCAGAAAGAGCAAAGGAGACAGCGAGAGGGAGAGAGAGAGGAGAGACGAGGATTGAGGGCTTCAGAGTTCGGGGCTTAGGACCTGGCAGGGCCGTAGGGGTTTCGGGTTAAACCCTCAAACCTAAACCCTAAACCCCTAAACCCCTAAACCCCCTGAACCCCTAAACCCCTGAACCCCTAAACCGCCTAAACCGCTAAACCGCTAAACCGCTAAACCCCTAAACCCCTAAACCCCTAAACCCCTAAACCCCTAAACCCCTAAACCCTAAACCCCTAAACCCCTAAACCCCTAAACCCCTAAACCCCTAAACCCCTAAACCCCTAAACCCTAAACCCCTAAACCCCTAAACCCCTAAACCCCTAAACCCCTAAACCCCTAAACCCCTAAACCCCTAAACCCCTAAACCCCTAAACCCCTAAACCCCTAAACCTTAAACCCTAAACCCCTAAACCCCTAAATCTTGGAAGGCCTAACACAAAGCCCGCCCCGCCCCTGCCCCCCGGCAGCCTGAGCCTTCGGAGTCGTCTCCATAAGCATGCGCCACGCCACGAAGCAGGACCAAACCTCTATCAAACTGCAGGGGTGTATTTCTTTATCTTGTGTTATTTATTGTCACTGGAGTTTTGGGTTTTTTAAAGGTTTTTGCTCTAAGCGGTTATAAGGCTTTTAGGAAGTTTGGGTTTATGGGGTTTATAGGGTTTTATAGGGTTTATAGGGTTGAGGTGCGACACAATTTTCAAGTGCGAGGAGTTAGGGCTCAGAGGATTACAGGGGTTTCGACTGTAGAGGTTTAGGGCTTGGAGCTTTTTAGGTCTGAGGAGTTTTGGCACCCACAAATCCTAAAACCTCAAACCTGAACGCTAAACCTGTGACACAACCCTATAACCCCATCCTCCGCCTCAAAAACACACACACAAACAACAACTCCAATGTGCTTCCAAGTTGCCAGGCGGCAGGAGAGCGCCTGCCACGAAATCCGCAGCACTCGAGATTCCGATACAAGACGCTTCGGGGTTCATGGGGTTCAGGGTTTAGGGTTTAGAGCACCTGCAACCCATGCGGCTTTCGGGTTTTGCACTCATCGGGGGGGGGGGGGGGGGAGGGAGGGGGTGGGGAAGGGACAGGGCGCGGGGGGGAGGGCCAAGCTGGGCTGCAACTGAGGTAGCTGAGTTTAGAGACTCCTTTTGGGGTTTGGGATGCCCAAGCCCCCAAAGCCTGTAACGCGACACCTGGACACCCAAACGTCAACCCTAAACCCTAAGCCAACACCCTAAACCCTAAACCCTAAACCCTAAACCCTAAACCAACCCCAAACCCTAAACCCTGAACCCTAAACCCTAAACCCTGCCACCTAGACCTGGGCACCTAAACCCTCAGAGCCTCCTGCAGCATCCGTTTCGGCCCGGTGCGCAGGTGGCCGAGCCGCCAGCGGCGTGCCTGTGTGGCCCAACCTTGGGGTTTAGGGTTTAGGGTTTAGGGTTTGGGGTTTAGGGTTTAGGGGTTTAGGGTTTATAGGGTTTATAGGGTTCATAGGGTTCATGGGGTTTAGGGTTTCGGGTTGAGGGTTTAGGGTATCGGGTTTCGGGTTTAGGGTTTAGAGTTGCGGGATTACGGTTGAGGGTTGAGGGTTGAGGGTTGAAGGTTGAGGGTTGAGGGTTGAGGGTTGAGGGTTAGGGTCTAGGGTTTAGGGCTCAGGGTTTATGGCTATAGGGTCTTCGATGGGGAGTACCAAAAGAACCACCCCCCTCACAAGGTGAATGCTTCTGCCCCCTTATCATTCGAGCCAACTCTTAAGTTCCGAACAGCCATTTCAAAAATGAGATCCAGTAACCCCCTCAACCACAAACGCCCTAAACCCTAAACCCTAAACCCTAAACACTAAACCCTAACCCTAAATTCCGAAAGGCTTGAACCCAATAAAGCGTTCAATGTGTGAAGAAGGCCTTCTTACTTTAAGGTCAAGAGCCTGAAGATAGTACGTTCCTCAATAAACCCTAACCCTAAACCCTAAACCCGAAACCCGAAACCCTAAACCCTAAACCCTAAACCCCTGAAAAAAACACCCAACCCAAAATGGTATGGCGCTTATCGTAGAAGCCAGAGGCCCTGCAGGGCTCGGAAATGAGCCAACGGGAGGTGCGAGCAGTTCAGGGTTTCGGGTTTAGGGTTTCGAGTTTCGGGTTTCGGGTTCAGGGTTCAGGGTTTAGGGGTTGAACTTTTCGCCGTTCAGAACCAACATGTGGCGTTTCTTTGTCAATGGGGTTTAGGGCGTAGGGTTTACAGGTCTCCGGATTCGCAAAACGCACCTATCGCCTAAGGGCGGTGCTGCCCTAGGAGTCCATGCATCTTTCTTATACTTGGGCCCCAAATACAATACAAGAACCCTTTCAAGGCTCACTCTATACTCTATGTCAGGTTCCCTAAACTAGGACAACCAGGGCCCAAAGTGCTCCACTTTAAACCTTCTATATAGTTTGAGGAACCCATATACTCATCTCTGCAGCCAGGGCGGCGAAGTAGCGACAGAGTCAGCAAGTGCCTGCTTTGGGGTTTAGGGGTTTGGAGTTTAGGGTTTAAAGGGTAAAGGGTTTAGGATTTAGGATTTATAGGGCTTAAAGTTAGGGTTCAGGGTGTAGGGTTTTGAGTTTAGGGTTTTAGGGCTTCAGAAGAGGCTTTAGGGTTCTCGGGTCTAGGCCTTGGGATATTCAGTGGCACCCCGGGAGCAGAGTAGCCAAAACGAGGTCTAATACCGATAGTTGGCAGGCTCAAGCAACACCCCCGAAACCTTCGGTAGCGTGGCTAGGCTCAGGGTGTATTCCGTGTTTAGGGTTTATGGGCGTTTCGGGTAACCCTAAACCCTTCAACCCTAAACCCGAAACCCAAACCCTAAGGCCCTAAACGTCCGGCCTAAACCCACCAAGACCCTAAACCCAATCGCCTCGACGACACCGGCGTGGAATCAGCACGCAAACTCCGACCCAGGCCTTATGTCGCCACTTAGGGATTGGTTTAGGGTTTAGAGGTTTAGGGTTTAGGGTTTAGGGTTGTGGGTTTGTAGGGTTTGCAGGGCTTAAGGGGCCTTGGAGGTTTCTGTTTGGGGTCTAAAGGTTTAAGGAAGCAGGGAGTAGGCGTTTAGGGTTTCAGGGGCCTAGCGTTTAACCCGGCACCAAGCAAAGCGTACGGGGTGCTCTAGTCGGCTGAGAGATGAGGATGCCGTTGGAAGGTTTAAACTCCTAGACCCTAAACCCTAAACGCCAAACCCCCCCCCCCACCCCCCCATGGTCACGATCAGTGGGAGCATGCCTTGCCTCGGGTGGAAAGACGTGGCCCCTTCGCCCTGCTATCTTACTTATCAACCAAAGTCTGTACTTATAACTGTACTTAAAACCATGTTAGGGCACTTAAGGGGCTTACAAGCAGGCTATGAGTACAGTTATGATTGGTGTTATATATGTACCATGAACCTCCAAGGAGGCTCACGGGCCCCTGAAGCGAGATGGAGACCCCAAGGTTTAGGGTTCAGGGCTAAGGTTTCGGGTTCGAGGTTTGGGGTTTAGGGTGTAAGGTTTAGGGTTTGAAGTTTAGGCTTCAGTGCGTAAGGCTTAAGGAGTTGGAGGTTTGGGGTTTGAAGGTTTCAAAACCACAGCGCCAGCAAGGCCAAAGCAACCCTTAGCCACTGGTAGGTCCTTAAGCCCCCTAAACGCTTACGCCTATAACCCTGAACCCTACACCCTAAACCCAGAACCCTAAACCCCAAACCCTAACCCTGCGGACCCTGCGCACACACACAATGCAGGGGCCGCACTGGCAATGCCTCGGCGCAATCGTCGGTCGCCTGGGCTGAGGGGTGGCCCGAAGCCCGTAAACACCAATACATCGGTTTAGGGTTTAGGGTTTAGGGTTAGGGTTTAGGGTTTAGGGTTTAGGGTTTAGGTTTTAGGGTTTAGGGTTTAGGGTGTAGGGTTTAGGTTTAGGGTCTGGGACTTAGAAGTTGTTTCCTGCGTGTATCCCCCAAAGAACCATCGAAAGGACAAAACGTACACACTTACCAGTTCTTTAGGTCGAGCCACATATAAACTCGCGCTAGGCAGCTCTAGGCATCCTTGCTCTTGAGGGTTTAGGGTTTAGGGTTTAGGGTTTAGGGTTTAGGGTTTAGCGTAACCCTAGACCCCAAACTCTGCTCCGCATGTTAGATATCTCCCTAGACACTGAGCCCCTTCAACCACGAAGGCCGTAGGTCCAGTGGCTTGCTGTTGAGGGGCTATGAACCTTGTAAAACCTAAGCAGCCCCCTAAACCCTAAACCCTAAACCCTAAACCCTAAACCCTAAACCCTAAACCCTAAACCCTAAACCCTAGAGCCTAGTAAAGCCAAAAACCTTTAGGCCCGCTAGCCGACTCAGCTCCCTTAGACGCGATTTTCATGGAGACTTTGAGGTGTTAGGGTTTAGGGTTTAGGGTTTAGGTTTTAGGGTACGCGGCCATTTTGTTAGGCACTTGGTGCACGTCAGCACTCCACGGCATTTCTGGTGTGCTTGGCCATCCACCGGACCGTCATTTCAAGTGCGCCACCTGCGGTGAATTGCCAGGCTTGCAGCTACGCTGCTGCTTCAGGCTTCACAGACGTGCGAGGCAGCTTGTGCTTTTCTGATTGCGCCAAGCATCTGAACATAGGGGGCCCCTGTCACATTGAAATTTCAGGCGCAGCCATGTTGCCGAACCGGTACTACCCCAGCATTTAACACTACATACCGATCATCAAGGACATTAAGGCGCCTACAAAAAAAAAACACATCACTACGACTGGTCCTGGTTTTGGTCCGTGCCACTTGAAACAAAAGCGTGCACAAATTAACTGCTCGTTTTGGTTCTCTATTGAGAAACGAGATTGCAATCTTCCGCCCTCTCGTGGTACAAATGACAAACGTAAACTTTTTGCAACTCAAGCACATGATGTTCCACCAGCGTTCCACCGGCGACAAACATATAACACTGACGATGATTGCTTCGGATGCCTACAATCCTCCCAATTAAACCTTAAAACCCTAAACCCTAAACCCTATATAAACCCTAAACCCTAAACCCTGTCTTGGACATGGATATGCAGCCATCTTGTCAGGCACTTGGGGAACGTCAGCATTCCACCACGGCATTTCTGGCGCGCTTTGCCATCTTGCCAGTTCACAAGTCGTACGACATCTCTTGCAAGTACACAATCCGCAGTGAGTTGCCAGGCTTGCAGCTACGCTGCGGCTTCAGGCTTCACAGAAGTGCGAAGCAGCTGCCAAGCATCTCAACATGGGTGTCACACTGAATTTCAAGCGAGGCCATGCTGTTGAAAAGTGTCTTGGGGTACAGTTCACGTCCCATCTTTTGAGAGTGCTGATGTTAGGTCATTCAAGTGAATCCAGAAAACACATTATAAGGGTTTAGGGTTTAGGGAGACCGGTCCTGGCTTTGATCCGTACCCACTTGAAACAATCGTGCGCAAATTAACTGCTCGTTCGTTCTCTGAGGAGAAACTGAGATTGCAGTCTTCCGCCTTCTCCTGTTGCCAATCGTGCAACTTGAAAAAAGTAAACTTTTTGCAACTCAAGCACGCAATGTCCCACCAACGCAACAACAGCAGCACTGACGATAAGTGCGTCCGTGATGCCCTCTCTTGGACATGGATACGCAGACACTTTGACCCTACTTTGGAGTAGACCCGGGAAAAAAGTATATACTTTTTCGGTACAAGTACCTCTAATAGGAACCCAGAACCAACAAATGTATTGAAGTATCGTACTCCAAAACCCACTTAATCAGGCGCTTGAGACATTTTTTAGCACTCCGCGGCATTTCTGCCGCTCTTTGATTTGCCATCTCACAAGTCCGCGAGTCATATGGATATTTCCCAAAATGGGGGGGAGGGGGGGGGGTTTACACCTTTGATAACCCCACATAGAATAGAATCCCCTTTAAGGGACCCCCCAAAAAGGGCGGAAACCCTCCATATGACATCTTGCAAGTACGCAATCTGCGGCGAATTGCCAGGCTTGCAGCTACGCTGCAGCTTCAGGCTTCGCAGAGTCTGCGAAACGGCCTTTGCAGTTAAGTTCAAAGTCCAACTAGTTGTCAGGTCATGACTCCTTCTCTCCACAAGGTACAATTTACTAGTCGGCACATGATGAAGTTGCTACTCGCCCGGCCTTCTAGTTGCCCCAGGACATGGACATAAGGACTTTGCCCCGCAAAGTGTTTCCCAAGGTGTCTGGCCATTGCCTTCCAGGCCACCGCCTCTCACATCAGATAGCTTAAAAAGCAACCAAAAGATAGTATTGCTGGGAAGAAGAGCTCCTTCACCGCAGCCTCATCTGCCACCCCTCCGTCACCCAAAAGATTGTTTGAGTCTGGGGGGGTGGCCCGGGCTTGTGGGCCGGTACGGGCTGGTGCAGTGGTGGTGTCGGTGGTAGTTATAGTTGAGGAGCGAACTGTGGTGGTGTCGGTGGCAGTTATAGTTGTGGCGCTAACTGTGCTGCTCGTCAGGGTAGCTGTGGCTGTGGATGTTGCTGTACCAGTGGTTGTGGTGGTGCAGGACGCCTTCAGCACGCTCAAGCCAGAATTGCTGGCCGAGTAGGTGTAGCCGCCGCCGGCACTCACACCCTTCACATAGTAAAGCCAGGTTGTATCACGCAGCGTTGCGACGATTTCGGGATTTCTTGGATCTGCCAAGCTGATCATCGTCACCTGGCTGTGTCACAACATGTCATGAGCCCATCAATCCAAACATTTGTCTGGCTGATGCCGGGATGGGTTCGGCTTTGACCAAAATGTTTTATCTTTCAACATGTCATGAAATTTTGCCACACGCAATTTGGGAACTGCGCCACAACAAGCTGCAAATGCCTACAGGGTTTCTGCCCATGCCCGCCTGATGCCTACTGGCTAAGCCAACATATGCATACTCACCATCAATTGCGACTCCTTGGTGGCCCAGTAGCAATATTCTAATTAGGGCACCCTTCTATGGGGTTGGTTACTTTATAAGGGAACCTTGAACGAAAAAAAGGGGAAAGGGTACCACTTGTCTGCCAAGACACTGTTCGGGGTGGCAGTGAGACTCTTGGTAGCGACTCTGGAGGGATTGGTCGGGTCGGACACGTCGACCACCACGAAACGGGCATTTCCCGTCACGACATACGCATAGGATCCGGACACAGCCTTGGTATACCGGTGTACCCAGTGTTAAGGTTTGGGGTTTAGGGTTTGGGATTTAGGGTTTAAGGGTTTAGGGTTTAGGGTTCAGGGTTTAGGGTAACCTTATCCGGGCAGTAGGTGCCTGCTTGGAGGTTCATGGTGTACTTCTTTACCAACTATAACTGTACTCATAACCCACTTATCAGCCCCTTAAGTGCCCTGTGATGGTTATAAGTACACTTATAAGTACAGCTACCCTAAACCCTAAACCCTAAACCCTAATTAAAGCCTAAACCCTACACCCCTGAGCACAGTTACAATTGGCGAATAAGTACCATGAACCTCCAACTGGGTAGCACAAAGCAGGTACCCCCAATTTTTTTGCCTGGAAAGGGTACCCCCCCTCCCCCCCCAGGCGACAGGTGGCCCAGATCTTGCCCCCAACCCCCACCCCCCCAACCCGCCCCACCCACCCTCAACCGGGTTTAGGGTTTTGGGTTTTGGGTTTTGGGGTTAGGGTTTAGGTTTCAGGGTTTAGGGTTTACCCTCCAATGGACTGGCCTCCACCTTCCCACCCTCCTTCTCCTTATTCGCGCCAATAGGGCCCCAAAACCAGCACATGAGCAAAACATAACCCAGAACCCAAGAAAGGACAGGGGTACCACGGAGCGACCAAGCAGCAATTCCTTTGGCTAAAGCAAGATACTGGTCATACACTGATCCAACAATTGATGCATTGCTGGGGCTTGAGACATCCACAATCGTCACCCGGTTCCCGGATTCCGCAGAGACATAGGCATAACTTCCCTGCACGGCAACGCCCGAAGCACGATCGAGTTTGTCGGTGTCGTGAACACTTCCCACAAGGCTCGGAGCTGTTGGATCTGAAACATCCACCACTTCCAACTTGTGGCTGACCTTCGCCGCTGCGTAGACATAGTTGCCAGCTGCAGCCACACTCTCAGCGTACCTTGGGGACGAGATGAACCCTAAAACTGGGAGCATATGTCCTCTATTACTATAATTCCTGTTAAGGTATATGGACCCCAAACCCTAAACCCTTAAAACCCTTCTTAAGGCTCATTTGGTCCCCAAGGTACTGGAAGTTCTCGAGAACTCCGACCACTGTAGGGTCCCTGGGATCCGATATGTTCACCACGGTCAGGTAGTAGTTCCTATACGAGCACAGCCCCGTAGGGTTTAGGGTTTATAGGGTTTAGGGTTTAGGGTTTAGGGTTTAGGGTTTAGGGTTTCAAGGGTTTAGGGTTTAGGGTTTAAGGCTTAGGGTAAAGGGCAAAGGGTAAAGCTGCAAAACGAACCATGCGGTTGTGACAACGCAGCGCGTTGCTGCAGGTCCGTTACGCTCTTGTGACTACTAGGAAACAGTGAGGAGAAGGGCCCAACATGGCTTTGAGTTTGCTGGTGCCCCTAAACCCTAAACCCTAAACCCTAAACCCTAAACCCTAAACCCTAAACCCTTAACCCTTAACCCTTAAACCCTAAACCCTAAACCCTAAACCCTAAACCCTGTCAAACGAAAGTGCTGTTCCAGATGCGATGCAGAAACTCTTGGGGATGTTGAGTTGGGGGGGGGGGGGGGGATGTTTTTTGGGGCAGTCTACGTTGCCCTGGCATGTTATCTGCAGACTTCGGATGT